AGATTCGACATATTGCGCGAGAACAGGAGGCGAATTCAGGATTGGTTTGAGCCATTATCGAAGACTTCTTTCCCTCGCCACACGAGCCGAAGTTGTGACGGCCCCCATTCCATGAACACTCCCCCCCCGTGGAAACGACAATTTCTCTGGTCTGCGTAGGGCCGGCCTCTCTCTCTAGACCCACCAGTTACTCGGCCTACGTGTGGCAAACACTAGTAGTACCCGCGCTATCGACCTAGGCACCTTGGCGATAGAAGCATGTCCAAGCAATGGTTACAACCCCGTCCCTCTGCATCGCCTTCGCCACAGGCAGCGCCACGCGATATGGCGACGGCCAGAGAACGACTGGCAGACACTTCAGAGAATCTTAGACTCGCGTTTTCCAGCCTTCAGGCCGTCAATGAAGATATCGTGGCTCGCACGACCGGCGTTGGTACCCTGTCTCTGTCTCAAGCAACTGCAAGACGGGTGTCACAAGCAGCGAGCATGGCGAAAACGGCGGCACTGACGGTGCTGAAGGCGGCCCAGGCAGCAGAGGTGGCGGCCAACACAGCTGCGGCGGCGACGATGTCGGCAGCACAAGCAGCACAGGCAGCCGCTGCCGCAACATCAGCAACAGCAAAGGCGTCAGTCGAGGCAACAGAGGCGGCCAAAGCTGCAGCAACAGCGGCCATAAAAGTGGAAATGGACCTGCCGGTCTTTAGGGACAGGTACATAATTTACTAACCCGTTTGAGCTGCAGAACGCTTGGTGTTCGTTCGTACTGCACTACACGGCTGTCCGCTTTTATCTACGCTTGTCGATTTTTCGTGCAGAGCGTTTGAAGTGTGTTTCGATGGCTACGACAAGGTTTTCCAAAGATTTGCCACTGGGGTAATGAGCTCACGGCGCGCGTCCCCTGCCCTGCTCTTTGTTTGCCCATTGTACCTCTTAAATAACTGTTCATGTTGATTCGTTGACCTCGTTCAGGAGAATGTCAAGTGGGGACATTAGCGGAAGCAACGATTCTGGTAAGAATGGGGACGGCAAACGGACGAGAGGGTAGGGGAGGTCGTCGACGGTCCACTGGTGATGACCATCCATGCTCTATGCTGCCCGCTGCTTCTGTCGTGCCACCTACATGTGATCTCTTTTCGAACCTCCACCACATTCGAAGTACGGTGCCTTACTTTCGGCAAAACGTGTCATGCGGCAAACAGGCTCGATTTCACCTGCTGGTTCGGAACCTGAGATCGGCGATTTTTCGGTGGCCGTCAAGGTGAGCCTTGCCTGCCAATGCAGAAGATGGGACAGTTCGGCCGCATGTATTGTCGCATAGCTCGGCATCCCTCATGTTCCACTCACGAATGGCAAGGGAATCGGGGCACAAAGCGTGGAAAATCCTCACAGGCCTGCTGCCTGAATCACTCCTCTTTTCTCTCGTGTTGATCCCGTTCGCACCTGCCGTACTTCCCCGTGAAGACCTGCGAGTCAGACATGTCAGAAGAGGATAAGGAGGAGCAGAACACACTACAGGACACCGAACTTGCAGGAGAGGAAAACCGATCATCACCCTACGGCGATGTAGTTCCAGATGTTGCAAGCACTGATCAGGAGAGGCAAGAGGAAGCCGAGGTAGGTATCTCAGGGTCTAGCGCTGTTGTCATTATGTGGATTCATTTCGATTCGGGCTAGAGTTTCGCTGGTTGTCTCGACGACCAACGTACCTGCTCAAAGTCTCCACGGTGCTGATTTGCGAATGCGAAGCTTCATCTGGAGTTCATGGTATTGACTACGATGGTGTCCCAACGCACGAAGGTGACTGCAGTAGAGGGGCAACAACAACACCGAGACGACCACAACATCAACAACTGTATCACCGAATAGTACAAGTCCGTTGGTGCCCGTTTGGCGCAAGACGTGCTACCACTCACACCGGCTTACGACTGTCAGAATGTTTTTGATTCGTGTTTGATGTGCTTCGAAGTAGGTCGTAGCGGCTCTCTGTCGCTCTATCGCCACCTACTTGGCCATGACGGAGGAGTTGCTGATCCAGGCCGCCCCTGTTTGACGTGTCGCACGCAGCCGTTACAGCGGTTGCAGCCCTGTGAAGGTTTTCGAGAATCGAGTTTTGCCATGCAAAATGTATTGACTTTCCGTGTACTCCCCAGATTTGGGGCACGTAGTATCTCACCTTTTTGGTAGCACACAAAATGTTGCCGCCTTTTTGTGGAATGATGTTGTTGGCAGACCGCTCCTGGGAATGGTGTTGGAGAACAAATGGAAGAGGAGAAAGAGCGCGGCGAGGAGGACGGCCAGAAAGAGATGGGGCACCATGAACTGGAAGGGCTGCACGAAGATGAGGTAGGCTAGTTCTCACGACATTGCGTATCTATATGTGAAGTAGAAAAATTTATCGTTTGTCGCACCACCAAAAACCGCTACCAGACAGGACGAATTATGCTCAAGTGCCGACTCTTACCGACTTGTACCATCGTCGGCACGACCGGCGTTGAATGCGGCGTATTTCCTCGATACAACGATGGCCAACTCTGTGCTACCCGACGTCCCTCGTTTTGTTCATTCCGTTGAACCCGATACACCGCTTGGAGAGGGTTCGCTCAGCTGCTTGAATTTGATTGTTTGTGACTGTCTGGGGATTGTCTCGGTACTCAGGGATAAATAACAGTTTGCCCGTTCCGCACCAACCAACGGTGTTGATACGGCAACCTTTGTATGATCAGATGCTGGAAAAGCTGGATGTAGTTCTTGTTGTTTAGGTGGGTTTCGAATTTTTGGGTCAAGCATCAAGGTCGTCGTTCAGATACGGTATTTTCGTCATCAACGAGGCAAGCGTATCTTTTTCACTTTTCGTATGAGTCCCTCAGGCAAGGCGAGGCAAGCGTACGATCGGGGGTACGGCCAACCCCCCCCGCCGGTACAGCGTCCGCGCAAGTGGCAGAAGGCGACCCAACTACGCTGAAAGGTGAACGGTAGTACTGTGAAATACTTGTAATTGTGTCAAGAGTCAATCAAACGTTGTACTCTTCTGTGTTGTTTCTACTATTTAGCTAAAACCAGTATCACTTCATTTCCCAAAATGTTACAACCGACATATTTGGACTCGCGTCTAGGCAAGTTTGTTTCCTCATTGTGTCGACTTCCGCCATAACTTTGTACAGCCTGCAAAGCGGCGTGTCGGCTATCTCGTACAGGGGGCTACCTCGTTTTAGACTGCAACATGTAGCACCTCCGTTCGAAATGCACCAGAGGAAAACGCGATCATTCTCAGGTGGGGAAAGAATTCTCACATCTCGGAACACGATACGAAGCACCCTGTACAAATCGCATCTCGCAACTCTATATATGTGTGGTGACAGCGCACACACCGCCATACACCTATACACCAGCCTGCCGCTGCGGTACAGACGCAGCAACCTGCTATGGACTACACTCGTGGGAGTTGCGGGTGCATGGTAGAACTCGTTCTCGTCTGTGTGTAACGCAGGCTGCGTGCCATTGACATGGTCATCGGAGCCCGCAGACCAGATAGCGCTCTAGGGTTTCCTCTTGGTTGAGGAGCTGCTTGGTGCGGACGAAGTATGGCAATCAGCTCAGTCAATACACAGCCGACGGGGCGCGCCCTTGTTGTGCGCGTGCACGTTTTTTTGTTCCCTGGGTGGCCGTAACGCGCTCGTTTTCATAAGTCGTTTCCTTCGTTCCATATTTCTCGGACTATGTGCCCCCCCAAGGCAAATCCCCTGCTGCCTTTTGTCAACCTACGGTTCTTAGATCCCTCCCTTCTCGTTCTTACTGGGTTGGTACAGTATCATTGGAGATGGGGGACTGCACCTGGTTTGTTGTTGTTCTGTTGTTGCCCGCGGCTGTTGTTGTTCTGATCACCTGAACGATCACTCGGACCTCTACCCATAACCTCTTGTGTCCAACACTCAAGGTAATGAAACGCGTTGTCTCTGCCCCAAGCTGATACAAACGTTGACACAAACCTATAGCAGCCAACACCAGAGACTGCGGAACCAAGAGCACTTTGCCCCCATCGCTCGAGAGTACAATTAAATTACGCCGACACGCTCATTGCGCGCACCCAAGTGAACCAGAGAGTGTCCGTAGTCGCCGTTGGCACACTCTGGGGATGAGGTGATGAGGTCGCTGCAACACCCCGGAAAATATTACATCGTAGAGCCCAACCAGTGAGTGGTGAAAACAGACCCGGGACGTTGTTCAGCTTTTGACGTTCGTCTGTGGGACCTTACGTTAGGGGAACACGCACATGGACCACTTATTGACACACAATCGGCGCCTGTCAGCCGGTATCCCTATGTGTGTGGTGTCGGATGCGATTTCTGAAACTCGTGGTGGTCTCTGTATGATGCTATCTGCTCTGTGCCGTACAAAATATCATACAAACATGCCTCACAGGAACCCGCATATTCGAAAGTGTTTCAGCGATTGTTGCTCAGCTGAGCGCTGCGTCTAGGCATTAATCAGCGGCTGCGCGCAACCCGGTCGATGGTTTCTCAATAACACTTGAGTCCGACGCCTGGGTTCACTATCTTCTATGCCGTCCAACATATTCCCCTCCCGTTTTTTCAGACGACTCATGGCAACCCTTGGGCAGCTGATTTCTCGACATCGACGCGACATCTCAATTGAAACGCGATCTCGGTGCAGTTTCTTAGGTTTCGGTATCGTCATCATCGTAGATCGTGGCTAAACCCGTATCCCTGATCGTGTGAGGCGGCACACAAAATATGGCAGAACCTCATATCTACACGCAGTCCGTTTGGACCGGACCGAAGCAAGTGAATGGAGAACGACACGTAGCACAACCTCCGAACATAAGGTGTTCTAGCTCGATTGCACTTGTACAATGACCTGTGGGTTTTATCCCCCGGTTTGTTGTTGGCCCTCGCCCGCGTTAAATTTCGTACTCGATTGTCAGTCCTACAAGAGAGCCATCCAAGCGCCCACGGAAGGCCTCCAAGCCGGGAGCAGAGAACGGAAGCGGGGGCGGTGGGGGGGCGGCAGCACCTAAGACGGTGAGTTTCATTGAGTATTTGGTCCTCCAGTCTATCATGTCAACGTTTAGTCGTGGTGCGGTTCCTCTGTGCATGCAGTGCTAGCTTGGTTAAGCACTTCACTCAAGCATTCTCGTTTCTGATGACACTGATCGGTGACAATGCTAGGGTAGTGGGGTGGCATGCATAAGCTCGGCAGGTGGCTGCCTGCTAGACAGTAATGCACGGCTGGTAGCATCCATGCAACAATTCAGAGAATTTATTTCCACGCTGGCAGCTCTGGTGTGTATTTCCGTTTTATGTTGGCGTTGGTTTGGGCGGCGTACGCAACTAGTTTGAATGCTTGGAAGTTGAGTGTGCTTGGGTAGATCGTGATGGAGGTACATGCAAACATGGTTAAGAGTAGCACTCGTTTGACTGCTCGTAGCCGAGAAACTTCTCCATGCCAGCAGCAGGTTGAAGGATCACGATTTCAGGTTGATTCCTATGGTGAGCGTGCCCCAAGAAGCCACATGACAACGTGCTTGAAATCACATTGCCCCCGTCTACGGTGGACGATGGCCGCTCTACCTGATGCCGGACTCGCAGCACGAAGCCACGTCTGTATCTCATTTCGAGCGGCCGTCGGTCCATGCGAACACACACGTTGTACTGTACAGACAAAATTGAACAGAGCAATCAATGTATGCTTCGAGTGGAATTGGAGAAGGGAGGCCGGGTCGCACACAAATTCGATGCGACCATTTTCCCGGCGAGTTTGAAAGAACGCATGACGTACGGTGGACAGGTTGGGTCAGGAAACGAATACAACTATACTAGCTGGCCCCAAAGCAGGATAATAACAGCCAGTCAGTTGTTTCATTGTGGTTCTCACGTAGGACGCCAACACACCATTTAACGGGCTCTCTCTAGTTTGGGCGATGGGACGCGTGACTTGGACGAAGCACGGTATTTTTGGCATTGGTGGTGGAAAACCAAGGGCTAGCGCCATCCCGAGAAATCGCCTTTTCATTACAGGTCTGAGAAATGTACGGTAGTAAGGAGACAGGGCAACATATCTGGTTCTACCTTTTTGCGTTTGATATTCGCTTGCTAATGGTCGATATCGCTCGCAAGCTTACTCAGAGTGAGACGTGATTAACACTGGATTGTGGATTCTGGTCGGAAATGGTTTGAACCGTTCGTTTCCGCAGTCAACGCCTGCGATGGCCGGACGCAATGGACAGGATCAACGTCGGTGCTGCCAGGAGACCGGCTGCACAACACCGCCATCGTATGGCAAAGCTCCCCGCAAGAAGGCCAAGTTCTGCCCGAAGCACCGCAAGCAGGGTATGGTCAACGTTGACAAGAGGTGCGGCCATCGAGGGTGTAGCAAGCGTCCGGGTTTCGGCATGGACGGCAGCAGGCATGGCTTCTGCAACAGGCACGCTCAGCGAAGAATGGTGCATCAATTTGGTCGCAAAACAGAGGTCGCAGCTCGTGATATAGCTCGCCATGTGCTGTTATTCCATTCGTCAACCACCGTTAAATGATGTGGATTTCACGATTGGTAAGTCCACAAGCGTCCTGCCCTCGTCGTGGTTTGGTGGTCCTGGTATTTATTGTTTTTTGTCACGGTACTATCGTTTGGGCCATGCGCTCAGGTAGCAAAGCAACGTCAACCGGCGCCAAAATGACTGCTGTTCGCCCCGTTTATTTCTTCGACTTTTACAATGTCGGCAAGAAAGTGGTACACAATACTGGTCATGGTGGGGGTTTCACGTAAAAGGCGGTGGTGGGAGGCAGTGTGACCCCCTTGGGTCCCGAACCGAACGGAGTAGGCGTGCAGGGTTTGGGGCATTGGACGACATGTTCTTGAAGTCGGCAGAGATGTTCACAGAGCGTTTGCTTTCTACAGAGCGGGGCGGACCGCAACAGTTAAACCCACTGCGCTCCAATCCATGGCATGAGTGAGGCAACGCTCCGCTTCGGGGGGATTGCCAATAATCCGTACAATCGTTTTTTTTCGGAGTAGTTCGAGCTACTCCGTCACATACTTCACGGCCATTACCGCAACAATCCGTAGTTTCTGGTTACCGTAATAAACCCACGAATTTTTCACGTAGTCACGATTTTTGCAGGGCTCGAGTCTTGCATAAGACACATGTCTGGACGTGCTTATGCGTACAAAAATACCGTCGCACCTGCGTACTTCCCCCCCTCCCCGACTAGGTATCGTGTCGGTGTGTCAGTCTCGTCCCTCTTCAAACAGAAATACGTCTCGCCGCAGGAGACATTGGAATCCTGCGAACCACGGCCCAAGCACAGGGTTGGTCGTGCTCGAAGGTGGGGCACAGAGTGCACGGTACGATAGATGACCGTACTAGGAGTCCGTTGTAGTGCTAGAGGGATGTAGACTGTGCATGACTGCTGCGTGCGTTCAATGCGTCCGTTCGCACGCCGCTCTATTAGTTTTTCGGGCAATACCTGGTACTTGTAATTTGTTTGTTGTATACCGCATAGTAGGTGTACAACGATGAATGTAGAATCATCAGGGGACTACTATATGTATGTTTGTTCTTGATTGGCGATCTTGAGTCTTACTTCTCTCTGATATTTGTTGTATTTGGCATCGCGTGCCGAGCTGGAGGGATGGATTCTCCTTGTTTGTTGACTGGATGGGGACAACGTTTCCTGTTTTTTCTGCCTTATTGCCTGATACTGTTTTTTATCTCCAAGTCCGATCGCTTCCCTGTGCGTCTTTTGTGATCTCTGATCTCGTCTGTTTGAGGATTTCCTGAGTCAATTCCTATCTTCCATGTGGTTGCTAGAAGTGTGTACCGGGTGCACTTTGTTGTAGTTGGTATGCGACCACGGAAGGCACCTTAGTCAGTTGGACCAGTGCGGAATTGGAAGGTACTTGAGGGGAAACCGGAACGATTGTTTAGTGGCAATATGAAGACATCAACAACAGCAACAATAACAACCGGGACGGCGGTATTGGATATATATTCTAATGCGATGGCGGAGCCAACGAATACAGTACACGTGAAATATGAAACCCTGCTACTGTGTGAATGGGTGAGTCGGCACCATCGGAAACCGCTTGCGTCACAACGTTGTCACAACGTTGCACTTATATGCCTAGATGACGGAAATAGGAAAGTTTGTTCTCGAGTAGTGAAGGGTGAAAAAGGCTGTCCTCAGGTCTCGAGGGGCATCAAGTCATGTCTGCCAATACCGGTGATACATACCTTCTATACGTATACGTCACATCTAACGATGATTGTGCGACCGTTCCAAAACGCCCGGACGGCAATTGATGCATGCATAGAACTCGTCAACCTGTTGTAGGTGTCCATGCGGGAGTGATCTCAATGAAAAAAAAAGTCGTGTTGTTGGCGAGTGGAAGTTAACCGATCTCAACGCAACGAAAAACGAAGTCGTACACGCATCAGCACGGGACGCGCCAATGAGTGGAAGCAACCGTGCTGCATGTGTGCTGTCAGCCTCAGCACGGGACGCGCCAACAAGTGGAAGCACCCGCGCTGTTGGCGAGTAGAGTTAACCGCATTGTGTTGCATGTGTGCTGTCAGCCTCAGCACGGGACACGCCAACGAGTGGAAGCACCCTGCGCTGTTGGCGAGTAGAGTTAACCGAATTCAACGCATCGGAAGGAAAAAGACCACAAATCATGTATCAGTACGGGACGCGCCAATGAGTGGAAGCACCCGTGTTGCATATGTGATGTCAGCTTCAGCACGGGACGCGCCAATGAATGCAAGCACTCGTGCTGCTGGCGAGTAGAGTTAACTGATCTCAACGGAAAAAAAAAAAAAACATACACGTATCAGCACGGGACGCGCCGATGAGTGGAAGCACCCGTGCTGCATATGTGTTGTCAGTTTCAGCAAGGGACGCTCTAATGAGTGGAAGCAACCGCGCTGTTGGCAAGTGGAGTTCACCGTATCCAACGCATCGAAAAAAAAAAAAACACGTATCAGCACGGGACGCGCCAATAAGTGGAAGCACCCGTGTCGCTGGCGAACTGGGGTTCACCGAATCCAAGGTAAAAATAACATAAAATAAAATAGAATAACATAAAAAAAAAAACATCGCTAGTGCTCTGAAGAGAGAAAGAAAAAGAGCACGTCCAAAGTATGTCATCTACGCACTCTCCATATTGTGACGTCGCCTGGGCATTACGGGACGCGCCAATGAGTGAAGCACCCGTGCGGTAGGCGTCTGGCATTACCGTGTTGGATAAACACCTCCAAAACACGTGTCGAGGAACATTCGGGATTGTCGAGGTACGGGACCCCCAATGACCGTAGCGCAAGCAGCAATAATCACTCCACTCAATCTACAGGCGTCCAGAACGAACCAACGCAAGCTCGCGATATAACAACGCGTCGTTCTGGGCCCGACGCAGAGCCTCGTCAGATATTTCCGCCCGAAGATAGGAACTTGTAGAGCATGCTAACTGCAGATCCAGGCGCGCGATCGACTACGCCCACGATGAAGAGGAAAAGGAGAGTTCCCGCAACACCGCCCTGACGTTCGCCCGCCGCCTGCCGCCGGTTCGCTGCTTATACGACTCCAACCGCGACCAGATGCCGACACGGGCCTCCACCCGGAGCGGCAGGGCAGCGGCCGGGCAAGCAGGGCGAGGTCGGGCGGCGACACCCTCGACACCACGCACGAGAAGGTCTACCGCGCGATCGGTGGCGAGCTCGACGGCTCGCCCCTCGACGCGCAGCGGGTTACGTACTCCCGCGAGGCGTCGAGCGGTATCCTCGTCGCGAGCGCGAGGGACAGGCACCCGCGGCGACCCCCCCGCTGACGAGACTGAGCTCGCTTCTCTCCGCGGGCTGGTGGACGGCCTGAGGGAGGAGCTGCAGCGGGAGCGCGACGAGGCTGCCGGCGATCGCCAGCAGATTCAAGCAACGATCGACGACCTGATCGCCACCCAAGCAGCAGGACCTGGCCTTCAGGGGGAGGTGCAACTGGTGGGCACAACCGCCCCACCACCGGCCTCTCGGGCCCCCGCTGCACCCAGCGCCGAGGCTGCTAAGGCTGCGGAAAAGGATAGGGCGCGGATGTGGGGGGACCCCTGCCGGGTAAAAGCGTGGCTCATCCTGGGACGGCCTCCGGCAGTTGCAAAACTGTCGCAGCCGGAGTGGCAAATCCTTGCTTCGCAAAGGCGTTCTGGTGACAGAGAAAGTGGCGGCATCGCTCAACACGCTCTCAAACTTCCGGGTCGAAGACTACCGTTCAGGATCCGACACACCTAACGCCGAGGGTCCGTTGGGAGAGTCGCTCTCGATCCTCATCACGACTATATCGGCGTTGCTCAAAACAGGCATTACCGATTCTGAGAGTCTCCAGCGAGTGGGCATCCTCGAGGAGCCCCTCAACGTTGGCTTGGAGATGTCACCGAACACTGTCGTGAAAACCGCGGCGAGATGCGGAATCCCGCGAACAAACTCCGGTTCGCGGGATTCATCAACGACGACCTAATCCTGTTCGCATCGCGGTAGTTTGACGCCGCCATCAGTTTCAAGACAACGAACTCTGCGCCGCCGACTGTCATCGAGGACTTTCCGCCCGTGGTAACCATCGAGTGGAAGAAAATTACTGGCTTCATCGCCATGGGCGGGGTCGGCGCCGCCGCCTTCTACAAGCCTCAGATACGGGCAGGGAAACAGCTCCTATCGCCGTCCAAGCGAGCCCGGGGGACCTCTTCCGGAAGATCGCCAGAACTGGGGGGGAATGGGGCAGAGTGATGTGGCTGTGTCTGTGCCTGTCCTATCTCTTCATCACACGGTCTGATGAGGTGTTCGCGAATGACGCGAGCAGGGTGCATGAGGCACACTGTCTTACGAGGGCGGACGTAGCATTGTTTACCGGCGAGACGCAACTAGACTTTAGTCACTATCGTAGAGCAGACCGTGTCGAAATGAGGTTTAGAGGGCACAAGGCCGATCAAGAGCAGAAAGGCAACATACGGGTTCGTACGCGAGACGAAGTCACCGGACCGCAGTCAGGTGTGAGAGCACGCGGCGGCGCGGTGGCTCTTGTGGTGGAGCTATTATCGTGTCATGCGACGTTGCCTGACTCCGCACCGTTGGCTTCGTACCGTAGTGGAAGAGCAGTGAAAGTAGTGAGGTATAGTGATGCCCTCCGTGCAGTCAGAGAAGTGGTAGCGAAGCCGGGGCGTAACCCTCAGGAGTACGCGTTGCACTCGTTGCGAATTGGAGGCGCGACGGCTCTTTCTTGCATCGGGCGGAGATATCGTAGAACGAGTGATTCAGAGAGAAAGGAAGTGGAGGTCGGATGTCTACAAGCCTACGCGCGAAACAATGTAGAGGATTCGCGGCGAGTGTCACGGAAACTTACAGACGGCAGCGGGATAGTATCGAGACAGCCGGGGGAGGGGGCCGTATGGGGAACGCATAGTCATAGTTGATTTATTCAGTAGCCGCCCAGAAACTGACCTCGATATGGGTGTTGTAGAATGGTGTGTACCATTTGAGGACTTGGTCAGTTTTGGGACTCCTGCGTTTGGAGTCGTAGTCCCCCGGCTAGTATTTGTGGGGAGAGAGATTGATTTGTGAGAGTTGACGCCGGCCTTCGCAGCTAACGCGGCCGGAGAGACGATGAGCGTTTCGTGCGTCTCTCTCCCCAACACGTAGCCTACAAACCGAAGAAATAATGGAGCAATTCGAAAGAAAACAAAATAAAGGTCGATATCCTTGTCCACACCACTGCTGTAGTTTCATACTTTCGAAATTTCCAAAATACTACCCAAGGGTGAGCGAAACGGCTATCCCGCACACCTGGGTCCTCCCGGAAGGGCCCAGTTTTATGTTATTGTTGCTCATCGTATGCATTCAGTAGTGCAGCTCTACCCGTTTGAAAAACTGTCGTCACAGATGAAACACTGCTGTGTGGCACTACTGCTGTAAAAGCGCAGGAACGCGTGTTGTTGTTGGAGAAATCACATATCCACACCACGTCCTCGAATCATTTTTTGGAGTTACTCTCAAAGTCCGGAGTAGCATCACGCCTCTACGCGCGTGAACGAAGAACCCCAAAGCTCCACGGAAACCAACCGCGGTACATGTCATGTAGGAGTTCGCAAGTATCTGAGAGAGAGAGTGTTGTTACGTTCGCCTACCGTTCCGTCTACCACCTTCCGACATCATTCTTGCACTCAAAACTATACGCCACCCAAAACACTGTTTCGGGGTGAGTTTAAACCCCATCAAGCGTAAGTCCAGCTCCTCTTGTTCCCTCTCGTTCTACTCTTCATCCCGTCCCTCCTCTTTGTCCCCTTCCTCCTCGTCTTCTCTCCATTACCCCCCTCCGAACACTGTTGGCTATAATCGTCTTGCGCCGCAACAGCCTGGGCTAGGCCTACGACATCCACCCCCTGAGGGTGCGCTGATCATGCTCTCCCTCTCATCGTCGACATATATATACAGACGGTGCCCCTTTACCGTTTTGTTGCGAGTCAGCGCACAGGGGTGCGATCGATTTTCAAAGCGTAATGGCTCCACAACCAGAAGGGTGCGAGCGCCAACAGATACTGCTCAGGAAGAAAGCTCTCGATGAGATGGTTCCCACACCGCCGTTTTCGACAGTGCTAACCTCCTGGTTGTGGAGAAATTACGCTTTGAAAATCAATCGCACCCCTGTTCGCTGACTTGCAACCTTCGGAAAATAGAATCTGTGGTATAGTTAGGATTTCGTATGACGTTCGGGGGGAGAGGGGGGTTCATTTCGACCCCCCTCCCCCCCACCCCGACCCATGGTCTTGCCATAGACTCCGGAAAAAATTATTCCAACATCAGACATAGCCAAGGTACATGTCTTCACCGGCAGCAAAGAAACAACCACATACAGATTGCAATACATCACGTCATTTAGTAATGTCTCGCCCCCGAGGCTAGTAAATAATGCCCCCCACAATAATAGCGCCCGAGAGGTGCGGCGCAACCTGCCTTTTTTTTTGCCGCATCTCTTGTATGTATCCATAGTCTAATCTACAGCCTCGGTGCGTGACTACAGTACAACTTGCACGTGTCCCTCCACAGCAGTATTAGTACAACGATCTCATCCCTCCGCCCCTAAACAAGGAAGGAGGCCTCCTCGCTGTGCTCTCCGAGAGGCCTTTGGTGAGTTTAAGGTTGGTGTGTCTTTGTTTGTGTGCTCCGAGATGTAATATTTGGATGCTAGAGTACATGCGGTTTCGGGACAGCGGCAACGCCAGTTTTCGAGGGGCGAGGCAGGCCAAGGGTCGAAGCAAGCCCAGTTCCCGCCGGCAGATCGCTAAGCTGGCATGGGTCTTCGAGTTGGAACAGAGGTGCCCAAGGCGATAAGAACCAATACACGTTGAAAACACCATACCTTGGCGACAAACGAGCTCAGCAGGTACGCACGCTCGCGAGGAACGGTAATCTACTGTACCAGTGTACCAGCCACCACAAGAGGATATTATTATTATTGTTGTTGTTGTTGTTGTTGTTGTTGTTGTTGTCTTCACAATTAATTTAAAAACCGCTCCGATCTCTCTCTACCCAGTACCTTCGTATGTCCGTACTGATCCAACACTCGACGCGGTCGATTCCCGTGGTCACAGGTTAACTTACCCAAAAAAGGTACACTCAAATAAACAAATAAACTGGCCCTAGGGGTCCGCAAGTCAATAGAAATCAACGACAGATATTATTCTGGAATCCTCCACTCCCTCTTCGCGCTATGCGAGGTATCAACTGAGACTAGCAGTCACTATCTATCATGGGCCGGAGAGAAAGAGGTACACCCCCTTGGTTCAATCTTGGTATTTCACAACGCAAGCAGAGACAAGGCCATCTGGCACAGAAAAAGAGAGAAAAAAAAAAAAAAGAGAACAAAAGAGAAAAATAAAAATGGAAACCGAAATAAAATGAAAATAAAATGAAAATAAAATGAAAAAGGGCGAGGACAAAGAGGGACCAGGCCGAAAATCTTTTCTACGATAGAGATGGTTTCGTTGTGTCATATTAAGAAAAATAAAAAGAAAGAAGTATGAGGCAGAACAAGGCACACGGTGGAGAGACCACTGACGAACAAGCAAACACGCAAACATGGCCACCAACCAGCGATACATTGTAATGGTACGAAATCACTACTACTGGGGGGTTGGTGCAATGGTGCAGCGTTGGGGGGGGGGAATTGGCTAAAATAAATTCAATCCGGCACGTGCCGTGCCACTCGGTCCGTCTATTGTGCCAGGCGTTGATTGGCCGAGGTCAACACTCCAGCGAGCCCCCCAAGTAAATGACAGAGGCGTGTATCGTATGCATAAGCGTTTTCACTGTCTCTGCCCGTTGCCCGTTGCCCCTGCAGTCGCTTACGGCCCCCCCCTGCTTGCTTCCCCTATCCCACAACCCAGGCGAAGAAAGGGTGAGAGCAGCCCACCTGGAGAAAAACGCTACGTAAAGAGGAGCGTCTGCTCTCACGTCGTTCGATTGCTGTGGCATGCGTGGTTCCACAAGCGCACGAGCAACCCTCTTCACAAACCAAACCGAACAAGGCGTCTCTGACACACCCTCGCATAGCGCGCGGCCATCTTCGGCAGATCGACGACGAGCAGTCGGGACCCCCCTGATGCCATACCTCTGCCTCCCCTTTCCTGGTGAGTTGCAACCCTGCGTGATCGGCGAAAGTGTCGGGTTTCATTAGAATTTGAGCTCGTTCTCGTCCCAGAGTAAATAAACCCCACAGTAAATGGGTCAGGGATGTTGCAACTGGTGGTGGAATCATAGTGTACCGTAGTCGATACTTCAAGAAAACACACCCACAAAAGACGAGACGCCCCCCACAGAATGGAACACCCGGTGCTAATATTATCAGGCCCCAAAAAAGGAGCAATCAATTCATTCTACCACCAGTGTCACAGAAGATACCACCCCTCCTGAGGTTAAGCCGCATGTTGTCACGGAGCCGGTGTGAATCCACATTACCCCGATGATGACGCAGCACTCGTTCCTGATCTCACACAACATGGCCCAGCAGAGAACACCCGCAACACCCCCTCTGATCGCGGGGAAAACAACCCGTACGATCTATCAATGAAAATACATCAACATTTGTCCTGCCGGCCCTTCTTGGTAGAGACTGCTGTACATGCATTCTCTGTTGCGACAGGCGTACTGCTGTGGTGGTGGAAGAAACTCTTTTGAATGCATGTCAACGTTTTCGCGGTTTTCGATGAGGGCACTATTGGCTTTCATCGCCGGGTTCACGTGGTCAGGATGGTTTTTACCTGTCCTGCGATCGTGCCTCCCCGGGCATACCACATGATGCTTGCAAGCGCGCTCAGTATGAACTTCATTCCTGCAGTCGGTGGTGTGTGAGTGGTATCACCGGTTCAGTACTTTACAAACCCTGAATACCCCGCCCCGTGCATGTGTTCAGGAGGCACGGTAGGTAAGCCTTTGCAGACAATTTTACACCCCTTCGGTCCCTGCACGTGTGCGGTAATCGTATCACACACCCTGGTTATCACACACCCTTCGTGGGCAGGGGCACGCAAATTCAAATAATGGAAAGGGAGAGTCGGTTCCTAGCGGCAGCGGAAACTCTCGTGTGGGAAACAGTCTTCGTTTACTGCACAGGTATCCAGACAGCATCTGGGGTGGGCAGAGCATGGATCATTCTTAAGCCACACGTAGGCAGTTTCTCAACCAATCGGAAATGCAACTGAAAAATGTGTCAATGGCGGTTCCGACAATATGCAACATTTCTTCAGACTGCTGCTGATGTTGCAGTCGATTTTCTTCTAGGTTGTCGACCACAAGAAAATCGTGAGGAGGGCGTTTTCAGGTTGTTCGCTTGCTATTCCTCGTAACCGGGTTGTTTTTTTCGTGTCCGACCGGTGAAGGTACGCCCATCTCAAGCGGACGGGACACCGTGCCCTGTGCCGCGGAGCTCCGTGATGATGTTTTTTCCTCCGACAGTAATATCATTGTTTCTTACAAGTCGAGGTTGTAGAGAAGAATTCCGTGGTGGTGCCCGCGGTGACTGCTGTACACAACAAAACATTTCCTATTCTCCCTTCTCTCGCTAAGCCCAACGAGGCACAATTCTCTACCAGTTCTTGGAGAAACCATCCAAGTTGGAGCAACTCTGGCGATTAAAACGGTGCCGGTTGTCAGTTGAGGCTTGTAGCGCGAGATCGGCTGCTTATCGATTTTTCGATTTGAGCACAATGTTCTCGCAAAGATTATAGAGCATCAAGCGCAGAAAAGCTTGCGTCAGTTGCCAACAGCTACGGCACGCCGCAAACAACCACTGCTCGAAAGGGCCAGAGCCTCCCGATGTGGCGCGTGAGAGGCGTCGCATGGCTTAAACCCTAGTTGAAGGTCGCCACGGTGCACGTAGGGATGTGCTCGAAGATAACCTGGATCCACTCAGCCGTTGTCGGGGTGCGCCCGCTGAGTGCACCCTCAGCTTCGCCAATCCAGTGAACGTTGTCGCGGTCGAACCTCTCGTTCGAAGCGGCTAGTGTGGACGACAGGCATACGTTGCAGATCGCACCCAGAATGTCGCGGTCGTTCTGCTGCAGCGCCGCGGTAGCACCCGCCGATTCTGCAAACACCACGAGAGCCCTCTGGGTCTGGCTCTGTCGGATCGTCCGCAGGAGAAGCCTGGAGACTCGTCCGTACACCGAGAAAACCTCCACGAGGGAAGATTCCGTCCGCTGTCGATCAAGGACAGGCAACCCTTGCACGAGAACTGACCGTGCCGCTTGCTCCTCCGTCACAAGTTGGATCCCGTCATCATCGATGGTCGCCATGGTGGAGTCCTGGGTCGAATCCATGACGAGCTGGATCCACTCAGCCGTTGTCGGGGTGCGCCCACCGAGGGCACTCTCGGCTTCTTCGCCTAGCCAGCGAACTCCGTTGCGGTCCAAGTTCTCGTTTGAAGCGGCTAGCGTGGACGACAGGCTCACGCTGCAGCTTGCGCCCAGGATATCGCGGTCGTTCTGCTGGAGAGCCGCGGTGGCACCTGCTGGTTGTTTGAAAACCACGGCAGCTCTCTGGGTCTGGCTCTGATCGATGGTCTGCAGGAGGAGCTTGAAGACTCGTCCGTACACCGAGAAAACCTCCTCCAGAGCAGATTCCGTCGTGTGTAGATCAAGGACAGGCAACCCTTGCACGAGAACTGACCGTGCCGCTTGCTCCTCCGTCACAAGTTGGATCCCGTCATCATCGATGGTCGCCATGGTGGAGTCCTGGGTCGAATCCATGACGAGCTGGATCCACTCAGCCGTTGTCGGGGTGCGCCCACCGAGGGCACTCTCGGCTTCTTCGCCTAGCCAGCGAACTCCGTTGCGGTCCAAGTTCTCGTTTGAAGCGGCTAGCGTGGACGACAGGCTCACGCTGCAGCTTGCGCCCAGGATATCGCGGTCGTTCTGCTGGAGAGACGCGGTGGCACCTGCTGATTGTTTGAAAACCACGACAGCTCTCTGGGTCTGGCTCTGATCGATGGTCTACAGGAGGAGCTTGAAGACTCGTCCGTACACCGAGAAAACCTCCTCCAGAGCAGATTCCGTCGTGTGTAGATCAAGGACAGGCAACCCTTGCACGAGGACCGACCGGGCCGCTTCTTGCTCCGTCACTTCCGGTAGCTCGCAGCCCTCCGCCATCTTTTTCCCGTCACCACGGACGGCCGCCACGGTGCACGTAGGGATGTGCTCGAAGATAACCTGGATCCACTCAGCCGTTGTCGGGGTGCGCCCGCTGAGTGCACCCTCAGCTTCGCCAATCCAGTGAACGTTGTCGCGGTCGAACCTCTCGTTCGAAGCGGCTAGTGTGGACGACAGGCATACGTTGCAGATCGCACCCAGAATGTCGCGGTCGTTCTGCTGCAGCGCCGCGGTAGCACCCGCCGATTCTGCAAACACCACGAGAGCCCTCTGGGTCTGGCTCTGGATCCACTCAGCCGTTGTCGGGGTGCGCCCACCGAGGGCACTCTCGGCTTCTTCGCCTAGCCAGCGAACTCTGTTGCGGTCCAAGTTCTCGTTTGAAGCGGCTAGCGTGGACGACAGGCTCACGCTGCAGCTTGCGCCCAGGATATCGCGGTCGTTCTGCTGGAGAGCCGCGGTGGCACCTGCTGATTGTTTGAAAACCACGACAGCTCTCTGGGTCTGGCTCTGATCGATGGTCTGCAGGAGGAGCTTGAAGACTCGTCCGTACACCGAGAAAACCTCCTCCAGAGCAGATTCCGTCGTGTGTAGATCAAGGACAGGCAACCCTTGCACGAGGACCGACCGGGCCGCTTCTTGCTCCGTCACTTCCGGTAGCTCGCCGCCCTCGCTCATGGTGCCGTGGATTATGTGCGTTCCGAACACCGTGCGGTGGCGATGTGTTCAGTCAGCGACCGCGCTGCAGGGTATGACCCGATTCCTCTTCCCTGCGGACAGAACCGATGCTGTGATACGCCTTTAAAGTTCTACCGCTTTTTCTTTTTGAAGCGTTTCCGTCAGTTCTTGTCACCAAGAGTGTTGTGGAAAGTATGGTCCGGTAGAGGCCCAGCTGCTGCATGGAAGAGCAGAATAAACGAGGCAATTCGATGCGTCAGCCGCGATGTATGAATGCACATGCAAGTCACGAAACTACGCCGGGTCATCGCAGACAGTACTTCGAATATTCACTCCCCCACCCCCTGCTGCTCTTGGTGTTTGCCATCGGGGTTTGGGTTTTCGACACTTGCAATGACGTTGCAAAACAAGTCGATCACTTCGTGCACTCGGCAAACAGGTTACCGCTTTTGTTTTTGCCTCTGTGCTTTTTTGGGCGGCAACCATGAATGGTGGTCGAGTAGATAATTGTGCGAGGTCGAGAACCCTCACTCCATTCAAAGGGGATGATCGCACCACATTGTGTTGAATTGGTCAAGCACCCTCGAGGCGGTTACACAGTGCTTACAACTGTCTCCGGAAGTGAAAGCACCAGAAAATAAATTAAGTCACGCAGCCGTCATCCGTAAGCACAAGATGCCGAACACCCTTAGCAGGATGCAGCGCACCCTTCATGCGACTCGCCGAATAACTCACGGCGCTTCGCGCTTGGTGATGTGAGAGCCTGGTCCGGTGAGAACCCGACGTGCCCCGTCCCGGCTTTGTAGGGGTGCGAGGTCAATGGTCTAACGACGACTACGAGTACACCCCCCCCCCTTGCTGCCCTCGGGCATAGCAAGCTCCGAAACACTCTGCCACCACGCACGCCTGCACCGACGTGTCGCCCACAAGAGCAACAGCGACACACCACCATACCAGCATCGTCACCACCACCGCCACAAGCGATCGTTCCAACCGGTATATTGTGTACCTACATTTCAGGCAGAAAACCAAGACCATGAACACACAATGCTGTTCCGTATTGTGTGTCCGTGCTTTATCGGAGGTTAGTGGGTGTGCATATTCGACAATGAACCGCAGGACTTCGCACACTTTACAGCAAATACCACAGCAATTCGTACCTCGAACTCCAACGCGTCAAAACTACGTCCAGGGGGTCTCCACACAAAGTAATATACTAATTAGTCTGATCAGATTAGGACGTTGCGCAGGTCAGCATGAACAGTGGACAATGAGGTTCTCTTCAGGACAACAATGAAAGTGTCACAAGTCAACCCCAGGATT